GATTCTTCCTCTGTCTCTCCCTGACTCGTAAAGCTTATATTTCTTTCCTCCTTCACTGGTGGTTGACAGAAAATGTGTGCTCCCTTCCTTCTCCTTTCTATCTTCCATGTGCTTAATAGGCAACTGAGGTGCAGGTCTTTGCACACCTAAGGGAGGTGTAGAGACTGATTCAGGCTATTTTCTTCACTGCTTTTTTGTACAGGTGAAAGATGGGGTGAGAGAGTGTACACTCTTCTTCCATTTTTTATGTATAGCTTGAGAAAAGAGGAACAGTGGAACATCTTCCAGGAGCTGTGTGAATTGCAGTCTATTAAGTCTGACACTGTGGAAGTTTGTCCAGAATTAAGGTAGCTGGAAGGACTTGTGTTTTAGCCATTGCCACCTCACTAGATCCGGATCTGCTGAAAGGAACTCTTTCCTAAATTCAGTGTCTGAGAATACCACTCTCACACTAAGCAAACTTATAGTCAAGAGAACATTTAAAAAAAAAAAAAAAAAGGATTAATAAGACATTAAGGTCAAGTTAGCTGATGGCCACTCCAAAACAGACCAACCAAAGTGATTCTTCATGCAATGTATGTGATGTGAAGCTCTGGAACTCCTAACCCTAAATTCTTTGGATACCAAAAGTTTACATGGGTTCAGTGGTGGCTCAAAAATTTAATAAAAAAGAATCTATTGCTTGTTTAGTAAAACACATGGATTGCCTCTGACTTATGGCATTCCTAAATCATAACGTGGTAGAAGCTGAGAAAGTATTAGATGAAGTACCATAAATGCTTGTCCTACATCCATGTTGCCTAGTCATCTCCTTTTGAGGGACACACTTCTGGACTTGTCAGGCATTTGGCATTATCTAAAGCATCCATCCTTATGTTTTTCCTGCACTGGTCCCTAGGAGACTTGCAAAAAATACTGAAATCCGATTGAGTTTAAAAATGTGCCAGAATATAGGTTCCTCAGAAATTTTGTTTACGCTTCATACATCTGATTTGTCTGAATCATGATGCACCTCACAGTATTATACAGGCTTATAAATAGTAAAAAAATTGCATTAGTAAGATCTTAAGGTTAGGGTATCAGAAACAGGTTTTTAATAACACAAATGGAGAACATAATCTTAGCTTCAGCTTGTCACATGCTTATCTCTTGAGTTGTTCTTCAACTAGCAAAACTGGTAAATATTTTTTCAGAGTTCCCAGTGTTACCTGAGCTCAGAATATTACAATAGTTTGCGAAGCTCTCAGTTCTGTCCCACTTAAGTCTAAGCCATACTTTCCAAATTCCCATCTGTTTCCCAATGCTGAGGCTACAGTTTTGCAGTCAGCAACAGTGGTGTTTGGTTGCTATTGCCTTCAAGGGGCATTCTGTGATAAAAAAGGAGGTAGTCTTGATGACTCTCCCTGTTGGCAGCCTTTTGGTGCAGCTGACTGTGATTCCCACTGCAGATTTTTCCTGGATTAGCCAGGGAGGCTCTAAACTATGTAAATCCTCTTTTCTGGGATCTGATGTCTTTGGTGCTTAAAGATGATATCTCCTTGCTTCTGTTCAGCCTGCTGGCAAATTGCTTCTTAACCAGCCTCAAACATTACTTTATGCAGAGTTATTAAAATAATTAAATTAATTCTTAATTAAAATAATTAAATTCTTTTTAATTGTATACACAATATTGATTATTCACATAAACACAGTTTCTCATATGTTCCTTTGCTTTTCCATTGTACTTTTGACATTTCCACTTTTTCTACTTCCATCTGTTCCCTCCAAATCACCCTGTCATTAAATGTAGCCTTTTTTGTAAATTAGCAGGTTCTGACACTCAGAGATAGTCTTTTCCTATCTTATGATGTCTCCCAAACATGCTTGTCTCTAAAAATCAGTGTTTTAATAATGATTATATTATCTTGATAACTGTATAATACCAGCAAAAGTAATAAAGGACTACTGACCTTTTGAAACAGAAGATAGTCTAGATATTTAACTTCAAAATTTTAGCATCCATAACAGAAATCTCTATTACAGCATTTTTAGTCAATACTTCACAAAGTGTCTTTTGACTTCTTCTGCTTGATGCCTTTTAGTGAAGTAAATTTTTCCTGTAGCCTCATGTATCAAAGAATTCTTATTTTATTTTCTGAATTCTCTGTAATTTTATGGCAGTCTGTGTGAACACAGTATAAATTGAATTGCTGTTGACCATCAAATTAAGGTATGCCAAATATATGTTATCATGTTTTCTGAGCCGCAAAAGAGACATAGTTGAGGTGATGGCCAGGCATATGTTGTGTAATTTGGATCTCCAGTTATAGAAATGGAGAAGGTCTACTGGTTGGATATGGGAAAATTCTGCCATTTTCTGTCCATTCCTATTTCTTATATACAGGTGATTTTACTATTGTTAATTTTTGTAAATTAAAAAAAAGGAGAGTATTGATGAAAAATAAATCAAATGTTTTAATTATTGAAAACATCTAAAACACGCTCACCCATCTGAGTTGTAAGATACAGATAAAAATAAACCAATACAACCTAAGTTGCAGACGCCAGGGTGTCCTGGGTCCAGCTGGGATAGGGTTAATTCTTCACAGAAGCTGGGAGTTGGGCATAGCCGGATATTCGATACCATGCTGACGTCATGCCCGGGATATAAGGGGAAGCTAGCCGGGAGAGGGGTCTCTTTTGTGAAGCTCGTGGTGGTGAGATTTTCATTGTATCAGTGTCTCCATTGTACTCTATATCGTGTCTTATTGTTATATTCTCCTTTCTTTTGCTTTCCTCGTGTGGTATTATTAAAAATCTGTCGTTAACTCAGGAGGTTCCACTTTTCTTATTCCCATCTTACCGGTCTTTTTTTTTTTTCCCATTCTCCGGGGGGGGGGGGGGGGGGGGGGGAGGCGGTGTTGCGACCACGTGGTGGTGGTGGTCCTGACACCAAGACACAGGGGAAAGATCCAGGCCTCCTAAGGCAGTCTGTCTGGAAGCCAGAGGAGAGTTCAGTGAACTTCTGAAGAGTCTCAGTAGTGAGCAAGGGGCTTTTTGGTGAACAAAGCATATTTGTTGTGTCTGAATTTGTGCCCTCTCTGGAGCTTAAGGTCCTGACTTGCATTAGACATTTCTTCCCACTTGGGTTCCCGAGTGCTCTGTTGCAGAGCATTAAGATGTAAAAAACCAAAATTCT